CTGAACAAAATATAAAACGAGAAAATACTACATCAAAATATGTAGGTGCTGTGTCTATAAACACATCTATTTTATAATCCTAAAAAAAGTACAACAATACACCACAGCAAGTTCCTAAAAGCCTTATGGCAAAAAGGCTACCATCCTCCTAGAACGCCTTGCGCAAATTAAACCTCCCTTTTTTAAGCTGTTTTTCAGTATATAGGCTTTAACTGCTGTGCTGCATTTAGGTCAAGATACCAGAGAGGGAGGGGGAAAGAGGGAACCAAAACACAACCAAAACCACCAAAAACCCCGTAATAACTGATTCAAAAGAAGCTGCAGGTAGAAATGGCATTTTTGTTTCCACTTTGTGAAACGACACTATCTGCATTATCAGTAAAGTAGGTTTATGTGCAAAACTTTGGAAACTGCATGCTTTCAGCCCTCACAGATAGCACTTAGAAGGCAGCAAGTACCTATAATTAAGATTTATGACTAAGTTTAGTTGAAAACATTAAAACTGGGCATGCTTACAACTGTGCAGGCTACAATAGCACAGTATTTCTGTTGGGTTTAATCACATATGTACAAGCAACTCCATCAATACAGAATTATTATAGAAATACATCCTTCTCTAAAAATCCCTGAAAGGTGCCCCAGTAGTCCGTGCACACAAGTCAACTAGAATTTTATCCAGCTAGCCCACAGGTAGAAAACCTATTTTAAAACAGTGTTATTTCCACAGATTCACAAAGGGATACCCAATGGTGCAGGGGTGGCGTCATGAGTTCATTGATTAAGTTCCATGAAATGTTGGGGAAGGGGGGTTTGTCAGGGTTTTGTTTGATTGGTTGGTGTTTGTTTTGCTTTTAATTTACATTTCCAAAATGAAAAGAAGTCTCAAGTTCTCAATTTAAAACTGCACTGAGGCTGGAATGTGAATCCCCGTGCAAATTCAGTCTATGATACATCTTTCAGATTTTTCCTTCAATCTTATCTTTGGGGTGTACAGATGCTCCCATAATATAAGTGCTGTAAATAGTAGTCATACTTCCAGAATGAAGTGGAAGTCACAATTTCAGGGAAGTTCACTATTGTTTGGCAGCAAATCACCACCGCACCTGAATCCTGGTCACAAAGTGCAGTATTTTTTTTGTTGTTGTTTATCTGCTCCTTCAGGCTTGATGACATGAAGAAAATCAGTTTCTATCAAAGCTACAATCATCTCCTGCTGCTGGATACAACAGGCTTCTGAAGAGCAATTGTGCCTTATGTATAAACTTGAGTAGTAAGTCAATACAAATGGCTAACGAAAATAAGAATTAGTATCTGGAAACAAGGAGAGCAAACACTGCTGAGCATGCATTTTTCCCCGTGTATTTGTGGTTTGTGGGATTTTTTTTTTTTTTTTAAACATTGTTCCAAATTCTTCTATAATGTACTGGAAATACCACTAAATTACTACCAGCTCTTTGCTGAGCACTTGAAGCTAAATTTTTATTCAGCTGTTACATTCAGGTTACTATTTTTTCTTCAAGTAACATTCTTCAGCAAGTAGGGATGCAGTCATTGTTTATAATGCTGCTACAGTTAAGTCTCACTTGAACTTGCTTAATTTCTTCAACATGTTATTCCTAGGGGAACAGCTTAGTAGTAACACCATTCATAAATGTCCTCACTGAAAGAAAAAGCAAACTAGTGTTTATAGACCAAGTATTCAAGAGTTGGCTGTTTAAATTTTAATTCTACTTCCTATAAACTAAAAGCCCGTTAGATTTTTTTTAAAACTGTCACTGAACACAGAAGTTAGACCAAGAAAGCTGTAGCACAAAGATTAGCGTGTAGAAAGCTGAGTAGCACAGGAAGAAAAATGGGTGCACTATTTTGATACCGATAGATATTTAGTTTATATTCATCAGTTAGTAGTGACTTAAGTGTTTTATAAAAACCATAAAATTTAGAATCAGTATGGTTTAGCCAACCTAGTGCCAATAATATTGAAGGTTCCATGTATTAATAAGGTATTCCACTCTACATTACGACTGGAAATATGTTGCTTAGGAATAGGTTGCATAAGTGATGTAACTAAAGACAACGCACAGATTGACAAAGAGGAAAATGGGCAAAAAAGGGTACGTTATACCACCATCTATGGCTGAACTAAGATTAAAATTTCCACCATCATAACCATCTCACTTTTGTCCACTTGACAAAAGTAAAATTTATTAATAGTTCATTTCAGTTTTCAAGCCTTGAGTATATTTTAGATTTTAGCTATAAAATGGGGAGTTGCAGTAAGCACAGTCACCTGCATTGGTTTAACCAACTCCAAAATACTGGTTTCTTTCGGATAAACAGTAAATAAAGTTTACTGAGACAAGCTGTGTTTGATTAAGATAGCCATTATTTAGGACAGTCTTTACGTTTTCCCCTTCTTTCTTGAGGCGACATTTATAAGAACTATGTTTTTCAAATTGTGCACCAGTATATTTCTTTTTAAGTAGCGTGTGACTCTTAGAGCTGTAAGGTTTCCACTACGACGAAAATAGTTATACACCGGTCAAAGTAAACAAGTGACAGAAGAACCCCACTATGACCACCACCCTCATCTATATTCAAACTGCTTCTCTTACTTCTGCTCAAATACCCAAATACACGTACAAATACCACCTCAAAAATGCAATGGAAAGGGCTATTTACTCGTCATATCTGAAAATACACTCATGACCAGTTATTTCAGGTTTTTCACTTTAGGTTAAAACATTCAGCAACATTTTTGCTGCTTCCCTTATTAAAGGTAAAAGCCTACTAGACATTTCAAAATACTATTTAAAACACTATCAGAGATTTACCGTAAGATTCTGAATTAATCATTTGCATCCAGTTTAGAAACACAACACTGCCCATAAAGAATTGTTGCAAGCTACAGTCTCCTAAAATAACCTGACTGAGATTCCCTTTCCATTCCACAGCATATCCAGATATGCTCCCGTATCAGAAGACGTTACAGGGGCTATTTACACAAGCCAGCTCCTCCCTCTCCATGCTAAAGCAGCACTACATTGAAAGTTTATTGAAAACATTGCTAGTACTGGCAATTATCCAAACCAAATTTAATCGTTATTTCTTTTGAAGACTAGGATAGTGTACTTTAGTCCTGTTAAAAGCCACCATACATTTTACTAACCCTGTCACTAGGTTTCTTCCCTCCTGCTCTCAGAGTCTATCCTACGCTTCAATTGAAAATATAAGCCTACTGATTGCAAGATCTAAGTTGCTCCTGAAAAAGCTACCACTACCATGCACAAAAAAGGGTTTATGTACTTTACCTGAAAGTACTTCCATATATTTAACCCGACATATTCGTTTTCTGTAGCACACAACTGTGACTGGAACTGGGGAAAGCTTTCTGGGGCAATCACACATAGGCACAGCACAGTGAAAATGTGGGTGCACTGACTGCATGTGCATCTACATCTGTAGGCACAGTGCTAAACTTCTCCAAGAGCTCCTCTAAGTTCAACTGTCTTTTTTCTTTTTTAAGCAATTTAAGTAGAATGCATTGCAGACCATAAAAATGTAGCCCCTATTAATGGGTCCATTATATGGCTTGCAGAGAGTATTCTTTTCTTGCCTGCAAAGCTAGAACAGATGAAATTGCACTGGTGTCAAATTTAGTATCTTGCTAACATCACTTCCCCTAGAAAGACAGTAAGTGTCCCTAATAACTTTCTTCCAGGAACTTTCTCATTTTTGTTCTAAAAAAGAGAAAGGGCACAGCTGAAAATCTTTCATCTGTGTCAGAGAGAAATGGTAAATGTAGTAGTAGCAAAAATGAACGTAATTTTCTTGTATCATACACTGGTCTTTATCTGCCTGGAAAAACAGCAGGTAAGAAGCAAGCCCAGACCTTTCTTGTATGCTTAAATCAGCAACCCCATTTCTAGTAACTCAGAAGAGCATTGCTCCACAAAGTTATGCGAAGTCACCTATTCCCGATGTTACTGGAGACCTTCAGGGCTTTAAAAAAAAAAAATTAGTAAAGCAACAGAGAGCTGAACAACTTCAAGTTAAAAAAGGGGACAAAACATAATGCTTGATGGTTAGAGACAACACATGAGGTTTTAAAACAAACTCTTGTTTTAGCAGCTCCAGACAGGAGTGCAGTGCTTAGAGTTCTCAAACAGCATGCAAGGGCCACAGTGGTCATGGTCCCATCATACAGTCCTGACTATTTAATACTACAGAATTTACTGAATTGGACAGTGAAACATCCAGTTTCATTCACTACACAGAATTCAGTAAGGAGCAGAGGTGGGAGTATCTCAACCACCACCACCAGTAAATTGGAAGATTATAATTCCAGGTTATCTCAGCTGCCTTCCATAGCTAGCAACTGTATCTTCACCCAAAACTTCTACATCCTTTTCAAGACACTTTCAGTAATTTATGAAAGTCACCTGACTCCTTAAGTTCACCTAACCCAACTCCTTTCCTAATGTTAAGCATCAGGAATCTTTAAGGCACAACTGTACCTGGAGTTATCCACATCTGATATCCACATCCATTGTCTGATGGTTGTCAGACAATGGGTAGCTCAAGTTTTACTGAGAAGCTAGGCTACATGAAAGCTTCTTACTCCTTTATTTGCAGCATACTCTTTTGAATTGGAACAATTAAAACTCAGTACGCTTCTGAATTCTTTCTGCTAGAACCCCGAATCAAGTTAGAACACTTCAGTTGAGACAACCTTCAGGATTTTAAGTCAGTACATCATCTTGCTGTTATCTTCTTCATTTAATGCCTTGGGACAATGCACGCACCTGTTCTGCAATGGTTTCAGAGCTATACTTTGGCAGCAAATAAGATAAATGTTTTCTGCCTTATAAGCTCTAAAAAGGAATGGAAGGTAGAACAAAAAGCTTCAGGAGTTTGCAGGTGTGAATACAAGGAAAGGAACACCGCACATTACTGAGACTGACCGACAGGATAAGTGACTGCTTAGTATCTCCTTAGAG